GTTGCTGGAGAGGTTGCTGGAGAGGTTGCTGGAGAGGTTGCTGGAGAGGTTGCTGGAGAGGTTGCTGGAGAGGTTGCTGGAGAGGTTGCTGGAGAGGTTGCTGGAGAGGTTGCTGGAGAGGATGCAGAAGAGGCTCCAACAGAAAAGGCTTCTGAAGAGGCTCCTGAAGACACTGCTGAAGCACCTGAAGAGGCTCCCGAAGAGGTTGCTGAGGCACCCGAGGAGACTGTTAAAGCTCCTGAGGCAGCTCCCGGAGAGGCTGATGACCCAGTTGATGAAGCAGCCCCCGAAGACCCTGTGGTTGAGGCGACCGCGGCAGAGACGGCAGGAGAGCCTGCACCTGAAGAAGCTACAGATGAAGCCGGGGATGAGCCGGCGTCTGATGAAGCTCCCGAACATGCACCTGTCGAAGAAGTTGCTGAGGAACCAGTGACCGAAGCAGCCTCTGAAGAGCTCGGCGCATCAATTGAGGCACCAGAAGAAACAGCCGATAACGATGCCACAGTTGACGAGGAGCCCGCAGCGGAGGAGGCTGGACATGAAGAAGAAGTTGAACCAGCTGCTGAAGAGAAAGAAATCCCAGGAGCGGAGGGATCGATGTCCCCGCTTGAAGCAGCTGCTATTGGCGCAGTCGTTGGTGCGGCGGGTGGCCTTATGGCATCGGAAGCGTCCAAGAGTTCAAAGGAAAGACGAAGGAAGTCTCATGAGAAACGCGGACACAGTTCGAAAGATCAATTGCATGGCCATAGAGGGAAGCTTGAGAGATCCAGGGGCGAAGCAGGACTATTCGACAACGCATTCGCGAGGGAGATCAAAAGACAAGCCAAAGACAAAGAGCATGGCCGACACGACCGTTCACCTGAGGAGGAGCGTGAAAGAGCAGAGAGGAGGAGAGCCAAGAGAGCTCGGCATGAAGGTGAGCGACCTGTCACAACGGATGGTCAAAGTCGACGCCAGGCCGAGGAAGACGGTGCCAAGGAAGAGAGAAAGCGTAGACGCCACGAAGAAAAGGAAAGGCGAAGATCGGAGGCTGAAGGAACAGACGCCGCCATGAAGAGGAGGAGCAAGGAGAAGGAGAAAGCACCAGAGTCATCTCGAGATGCTGCCACCGAAAGCAGCAGTGAGCCTAGGAGAACGAGGCGGCCCAGCAGCGCAGGAACTCATTCTGGTGGTGGTTCTCCGGTGGTGCCGATTCCTGTCATTTTGAAGAGGATGGCCACAGGCGAGAGCGATACCAGACCTCTGCTGATGATCAAGGTGAACGACACCGACTTTTCAGGCGACAGATCACGAGAGAGAACGAGAAGTCGTCATCACGAGCACCGCGAACACAGACACCACAGGTCTCGCGAAGATGCTTCGGATCGAGAGCGAGTTGACAAGGACGATGTTACAGAGGACCGGGCAAGGTCATCGAGACACGCAAGCTCAAGGAGGGATCGCCATTACCATCCTGAGCCTCGCACAACTCCAAGGTTCGGGTTCTTGGGCAAAGCAATCAATACACTTGTGGAGCACACGACTGTCAGGGAGATCTGGCGAGGAGAGAGGGTTGGTGCCTGATATATGGCGTCCGAGACATGCTTGGGGCCTCGAAGCTGAGAGTGAATGGAATACACATCGTCGACAGTACTCGCTACATGGCAGGATACCAGGGATCAAGGAAAATGGTGGGGACTGGAGCACTCGTTTTAGGGGGATCTCATATGTGCCGGGCGGCGGATTGGTCTCACGGCCAGTTCTTTGTATAACTAGTGCCTAATGTGTTAGGATTAGCCAATGTACGGAGATGGTAGTCTATGAATGAGCAATTTTCTTTCTTGAAACCATGGACGCTGAATTCCCGGCCGGCCAACTTCGCCGTCGTCGTCGCCGTTTCGGGGAGCGACCGATGCCTCCGTCGACGGAGAAGTCCTGATGGGCTGCGACACCAGAACGACCTGCCGAAAGGAGCCCAAGCTTAGAGGGTGCACGGCAAGTAAGTTTGCTTGTTTCGGTCTTGGTCGCCCCTCATGTTTGGACACAGGACCACAGGCCGTTTTCGCGTTTCTCCACGTCATGGGAGGGGCAGGCGGCATGATGCGATTTTATTTACTACTGTTCCGGCAAAACGAAGGCCCCTCCAAATGACCTGGAAGAAACATTGACTCCAAGCAGCAGGAGGTCAAGTATACTTGGTTTCCTTATCGTACCTCATTCTCGTCCTGATCCGTTACAAATTGCTGATCTGCAGGACCGTCCGCCGTGCAATTCGCGGCTCTTTTGTTCAACTAACAGCATCGCGCTGCAGGCTCTGTCTCTCCTACGTCCCCAGCCAATTTACCACAATGGGTTCAACCAGCAAAGACATGAAGGCGCAAGCCATCTTCCCTGGTAATACTGCTATGTTTATGAGATTCCCGAGCAGAAGAAGCGTGGTCCACAGCACACAGGGAATGGTGGCATGCTCACAGCCGTTGGCGGCGGAGGCAGGGCAAAGAATTTTGAAGATGGGAGGGAATGCCGCTGTAAGTAGACACATCCACAGAGGTACAGTACAAACTAACGAGGCCATCAGGATGCAGCCGTCGCAGTCGGTATGTCAAGTATCTTCTTCCTCCTGCTCGAATTGCGTCTAACCGTCCACCAGCTGCTGCGCTCAACATGACGGAGCCCACCTCGACCGGTATCGGAGGAGACATGTTCTGCCTTTTCTTCGACGCAAAGACAAAGAAGGTTCATGCTCTCAACGGCTCAGGGCGCAGCCCGAAAAATACCACCCTCGAACAAGTGAGGAAAGAGCTGGGTTTGTCCTCGTCGCAGAATGGCAAGATTCCCGTCCTCAGTGCGCTGTCCGTCACCGTTCCTGGGGCGCCTGGAGGATGGGTTGATGCAATTGAGAAGTTCGGGAGCGGAAAATTGAGCTTGGAGCAGATCCTGACTCCGGCAATCGAGCTGGGAGAAAATGGCTTTCCCGTCAGCGAGCTGTCGGCCATGTGGGTGAGTATTGTCTGAACTCCATCATACCTTTGAAGCTCAACGCTGATACGGTGCGCAGTGGCACGAAGGTGAAGAAGATCTTAGGCGTGCGTCCCCGAACTACCGCGAGATGCTCAAAAGAGACAAGCACTCGGAAGATTTCGTTCGGGCTCCTCGGGCTGGCGAGATCATGAGGAATCCAAACCTTGCAAAGACGTTCAGAGCCTTGGCTACAGAAGGGAAGAAAGGGTTTTATACTGGGAGAATCGCTCAGGCCATTGTCGACGTCTTGAAGTCTTCAGGAGGACACATGGAACTGTCAGACCTGGAGGACCACATGAACCGAGGGCCCCAAGAGACCGAACCTATCTCGCTGAGATTCAACGCTCAGAATGTCAAGAAGATGGGACCTCAAAGAGTGACGAATGGTTCACCCGACGACCATTTTGTCGAACTGTGGGAGCACCCGCCCAACGGACAGGGAATCGTTGCTCTTATGGCGCTCGGCATCCTGGAAGAGCTCGAGCGGACGAGGCAGATTCCCACGTTTGCGCAGGAGGACCACAACAGTGCTGCACACTTGCATGCCGTGATTGAGGCACTTCGAATAGCGTTTGCTGACGCTCGATGGTGGGTAACGGACCCAGAATTCATGCCGATAAAGTCAGCAGACATGATCTCGCGACCATACCTAGCCGAACGGGCCAAGCTGTTCAACCAAGACAAGGCTGGTATTTACAGCAATGGACAGCCCGGACCCAGCCCAGCCCAGAATCATAGCGACACCGTGTATTTCGCCGTAGCGGACAAGGAAGGCAATGGCATGAGCTTCATCAACTCCAATTACGAAGGGTTTGGATCTTCCATCATCCCCCAGGGCTGCGGGTTTACCCTCCAAAATCGAGGGTCGAACTTTGATCTTGGCCCACCAGAGCATCCAAATATCTACCAGGGCGGAAAGAGGCCTTACCACACAATCATTCCAGGGATGATCACCCATGGAAAAGAGGAAGAACGAGAACTGCACTCGGTATACGGCGTGATGGGCGGCTTTATGCAGCCGCAAGGCCACCTCCAAGTGCTTCTCAATATGGAAGTCTTTGGCATGAATCCGCAACAAGCCCTGGACGCCCCTCGAATCTGCATTGAAGCTAGCGTGCCCAAGGAAGGTGATACACACGCAGGAACCGTCTACCTAGAAGAAGGCATTGATGAGGCAGTGGTCAAGACATTGAAGAAGATGGGGCACGATGTCGTGGTTCTTCAGGGATTCCACCGAGCCAAATTCGGTCGAGGACAGATTATTCGGAGACATGTTGACGAGGACACCGGTCTGGTGGTGTATAGTGGTGGAAGTGACCCGAGAGGTGATGGATGTGCCTTGCCAGGGTAAACGAGGGATGATATTGGACCATGGTAGGCAAGGCTGTGTACCTCGTATCTACGCAGATATTCATTCACCCACGAGTACTGAGTACCTGCATTGGGGGTGATCATGGTGTGCTTTTCAGCCAGCCGCACCGCCAGCCTTGAGCAGCCACCAAGGGTCGATCTTGCCTAGCTGGTCCAATGAGGGGACTTGGGCTTGAGCCTTGCTATGCCTTTCAGAACACCAGCCTTGCTTACTTATAAATGCTGCCCATCTCGAGCACCCATCTCGTACGAGAATAATCAGAGGTAGAAAGATGTCGTTTTGAGCGTACTCGTACAAGTAGAATGAAAGTGCAGCGGCAGTTCCGGAGAAATTGCTATCTGAGCAACTCGAAGGCCGTTGGATGGGATCCTCGTATCGTGCCACTGACCTGCCATATGAAGTTACTGCCTGGAGGGAGATGGGAAGGTGACACCGGGGGAACAAGCTTTTCTCGAAGCCTGGAAGCAAGTGGATGAGGGGTTGAACCCAGGCCTCTAAATAGCTCTGCCCAGGTAGTCAAGTGGTCATAAGCACCGCCCAAGGCCAGCTAAGAATTTGCCACTAGGGGCAACTAACTACCTTGCCAGGGACTTAGTTGGACTAAGAAAGTGGAGGTCGTCGCCTGCCTGCGCTCGGCCTTTGCCGATTTGCAACTTCACTGGCCACCGTCCAAATCATTGCGCATCACTCCACCAAATTGTCCATTGAACCTCGTCCATCCCTTTGGCTACTTCAGTTTGTGTGTTGGATTGATTCATCTCGTCGCGTCCGCTTTGTCAATCTAACCAGTCCCTGTGTACGAGGTACCTTTGTTTGATGGATTCAATGTTGATCGTGGCCAAATCAACGGCGGAACATTGTTGGCCAACTGAGCCCTTGTCGAAAGCTCTGGTGGAGCAAGACCTTCCTCGGTAGGTTACATGCTGGTAGCAAGGACACCGTTATCAGCTCGTTAGCAGGTACACGATCAGGCTCTGGACGAATCATCAATGGCGATTGACCAATCCTTCCCCAAGATCGTCTCCAGCCGCCCAGCCTATTCCTACCTTCTCGCCGCCATCCCGCGATTCTCTTCCCTTCCACGTCATAGACTGAGCCTTTAACTGCTGCTTCTGCAGGGGCGCTTCTCAATCAGCGTTACAATGTCGCTTCCCACACGCCTCTCTGAAGGCACAACCTTGCTACGGCTTTGACCGTAGACCGGTTCCTCGGGGAGCTGCAGGATCTTGTTATCGTTCAATCACCACTTTGTATCGCCTCGGATGACATGGATGCTACCACGAGGCGGAGATAGGGACCCTGGACCACCGGGGACAGCTTTCATCATGGCTCAACTGTGAGGCGGGAATCATCCCAGCTTTGGATGGAGGGGGAAGCTCTGAGGGCTATTTGGGATTTTCCTTTATTTGCCTTGGTCCCCCCTCCCGGTGCTGTCGTGCAGGTTTTGGTGCGCCTTTCAAACTCTCCGTCTGCCAGGCAACATGAAGTTCTCCATCATTGCTCTGGCTTTGGGTCTCGTTTCCCTCACTTCCGCGCGTAGAAGCGCCCAGCATGTGGGCAAGAAGCTCCCACAGCTCAAGCGAGCTCCAGCGCCTCACGCGCACCCTGTTGTGCCAGAACTCGAGAAGCGAGCAGCACCGCACAAGTTCTTGAACAATGCCACCAAAAGTTCGTCCCCAATTCATACGATTGTAGGATCATGGCTGACCAGGCACAGAATATGCGGTCAATGGCACCGGAATCCCTGATGTGGATTTTGACGTGGGCGAATCCTATGCCGGCCTCTTGCCTATCTCCAGCGAAAAGAATGCTTCGGAGCTGTACTTTTGGTTTTTCCCTTCGTCGAACCCGAATGCGACCAATGAGATCCTGATTTGGTTGAATGGCGGTCCTGGGTGCAGCTCCCTAGAAGGCTTCCTGCAAGGTCAGTGGAATTGGGATTCTGGTGGAAAAGGGCTCCGCTTAACAGATGTCGCTAGAGAACGGACCGTTCCTCTGGCAATACGGTACATTCAAGCCAGTGCGCAACCAATGGTCGTGGACAAATCTGACGAACGTGGTGTGGGTTGAGCGTGAGTTTTCACCAACGGCGATCGACATTGGGGCAGTGAGCTAATATGGTATAGAACCTGTTGGCACCGGCTTCAGTCAGGGCACCCCGACAGCAACGTCGGAGGCAGACGTGGCTTCGCAGTTCCTTGGCTTCTTCAAGAACTTTGTCGAGCTTTTCTCAATGCAGGGCTACACCGTCTACATCGCCGGCGAATCCTACGCAGGGTACTACGTGCCTTATATTGCCGACGCCATGTTCAATGCGAACGACACTGAATTCTACAACATCAGCTCGATCATGATCTACGACCCCAGCTTGAGTTATGACGTGGTGCAAGAACATATTCCGGTCACAGCATTTGTCGACTATTGGCTACCGCTCCTCGATCTCAATGCCAGTTTTGTCCAGCAACTGCATAACATGTCGGACGCTTGCGGGTACACCGCCTTCATGGAGGAGAATCTGGTGTTCCCTCCCAAGGGACCCTTGCCAACACCACCGAACGCCGATCTCAGCGATGACTCGTGCGATACCTTTGACGCGGTCTTCTTCGCGGCGTCGGCCATCAACCCGTGTTTCGACATCTACCAAGTGGCGACGACATGTCCACTGCTGTGGGACGTGCTTGGTTTCCCCGGGTCGTTCGACTACGTCCCTCAAGGAGCCTCGATCTACTTCAACCGCAGTGACGTGCAGAAGGCCATCAACGCTCCTCATCAAGAGTGGATGGAGTGCACCAATGTGGACGTGTTTGTCAACAACACGGATAACTCGCTGCCGTCGGCGCTGAGCGTCCTGCCCGGGGTTATTGAAAGTGCGGACAGGGTCATCATTGGCCACGGTATTCTCGACATGATCCTGCTGTACAACGGTACTTTGCTTGCGATTCAGAACATGACGTGGAATGGTGCTCAGGGGTTCTCGGCTCCTCCCTCACGTTTTGGTGATATGTATGTCCCATACTACACCGAATTCGACTTTGAACTGGGGTCGACTGCTGGATCGGGTTTTATGGGCAAATGGCATACCGAACGAGGATTGACACTGGCGACGGTTGAGTTGTCTGGACACATGATCCCGCAATACGCTCCATCTGCGGCATACAGAATGCTAGAATTTTTGTTGGGCCGGATCCCGAGCCTGGGAACGGTTGGCCCATTCACGACACTGCAGAGTACGAGCTACTGAGTAGGTCAGAGTCAGCGTCACGATGAGCAGCAATCAAGTGATGTGGGGATGTGGACGCAGGAAATGCGGGATGGGGAACATGATGATAATATGTAATGTGTATGCATGACAATAAAAAGATCCACTGCATTGATGCCAAAGTAAATGCGAGTCACTGTGTCTTGTGCAGGGCTTGTCAGGATCATGCCAGACAAGGTAATGGTGGTGTGTGGTGCGAGGCATGTGGCGTGGTATAAGGCTGCAGCATTGGGTTGGTGATGGTCAGATCAACATCTTCATCCAACTGCCACGAGATGCCCGGATACATGTAGTAATCGCCTTTCCTATCCTCTTATGCCGGGACGCCTGTCATGTCAGACTCGGAATGTCTGGGAGAGGCTGACCCGTTCCCATCCTCCTCCTCCTCATCCTACTCCTCATACTTGTAGGTCTGCTCTACATGTCCCACCCGCCCAGGGCCATCCATGTCATGGAGAATTGACCCCACATTGATGGCTATCGCTACAATTTCGGCAGATCGTGGGGCACATTTTTTTGGTTCGTACGAGCGAGACACTTCGAAGACCCTTCCCGCTCAGCGACCTGAATCTTTCTTGTCGGCTCACGGAATCAGGACCGCGCATGCTGACTGATTCTGATAGTCTTGTAGTTCAAACATTCGTCCAGCTAGCTAGCTAACCAGCCCTGCCAGCCCTGAGAACCGCTTGGGGGAAATCCCGACAGGAGCAAGAGCACGAGGGTGGGGAACTGGAGGACTCGAGAGTTTCGATTCATGTACTAGGTACGAAGCAGAGTTGATCGAACTGCGGGTGATGCGGGGACGGTCTTGGACGGTGAATTGGGGGGCACCCTTGGTTTTTGCCATGTCGAACAGCCATGTGCCACACAGACATCAGTCGCAGCTCGCTCTGAATATGCCTGACTGGGCGGCCTTGGAGATCAGCTTTGGTGGCTTGGATGAACTTTGGTGGCTCGCGGTGGCTCGATGGCTCCGGGGG